GAGATAAGACAGGTTGAAATAAATGAAGAAGAGAGATAAGCCAGGATGCAATAAATGAGAGGGAGGGATAAGACAGGATGCAGTAAATGAGCAGGAGAGATAAGATAGGATGAAATAACTAAATGGGAAAGATAAGACAGGATGAAAGAGACAGGATGGACAGAAGAGATAAGACAGGATGCAATAAATGAAACTGAGGGATAAGATAGGATCCAATGAATGTCAGGAGAGATAAGAAAGGATGCAATAACTGGACAGGAAGTTAAGACAAGATACTGAGCAGGAGACGTAGACAGGACACAATAACTGAACATAAAAGATAAGACAGGATGAAATAACTCAATGGGAGAGATAAGACAGGAAGCAATAATTGAACAGGAGAAAGAATTAGGTAATTGCCCTAGAGAGTTCTTCTTCCTACTAGGGAAGGCTTCTTGCAGCTGGTGCCCTTGAAAGATGAGTAAGGTGGACTTACAGAGAGGGGGAAGGAGCATTATGGTCAGAGGCAACAGGAGCAAGAAGAATATGACAGTGATATTAAAATATGAGAAAGGAACATTTAAATTTACCTGAGTGTCATAGAATGTATGAGAGTGGATGCTTTGACTCCTGAAGAAGGCATTAATGGGAGTAACGTTTGAGCTGAGAATTAAAGAATGGGTAAACATTTGCCAAATGGACAAGGGTTGGAGGGCATGCAGGCAACAAATTCAAAGGTATGGAAACATTCATTCATTCATACTTTCAAAATATAGTTATTGAGCATGTACCCTATTCAAGGCACAATGCCAAGTGGAGGGATACAGGGATGAACAAGTAAGACCTCAAACCTACACTCATGTAGCTTACATTTTAATGAGGGAGGAAGATATTATTTATTCACAATTTAGTAAGTGATAAGTGAAGAGAACATATAACAGGGAAATATGACCTATTCTGGAGGGTCTAGGAAGCTTTTCTTAAAGAAGTGAAATTTAGACTGAGATTTAGAGGATGAGTAGGCCTTATCTAGTCAAAGTATGGAGGTGAGAGGTGCGAAAGAGTCCTTAAAGCTGAGGGAACAACATGTGCTAAGCCCCTGATGTGAGAAGGCTCACAGTACGTTCATGGAACTGAAAGGAGGTCAGTGCAGCTGCAATACGAAGAGGGAGGAAGAGAGTTTCACAAGGTGAAGCTTGCAAGGTGGGCAAGGCCGTCTTCAGGATTTTAGTCTTCATACTAAGAGCAAAGGGATGATTTTAAGCTAGAGACTGATGTGATCAGACTATTGTTTTAAAAAGATCTCTTTGGCTGCAGTTTAGATTCTGCCAGAATGGCTTAGACTTGGGAAGGAAGAATAGATGAGAGAGAGACCGGGCAGTAGATGAGGGCAGTTTGGATGGGGACTATGGCAGAAAAGACAGGAATAGTAAAGGAAATAGTAGGAATAGTAAAGAAAAAACATGATGATTGATTGGATATGGAAGAGTGAGGGACAGGTAGATTTTAAGGCTGATTTCTAAATATTTAGCTTGAGCAGCTGAGTGGTTACTGTTGCCATCCACTATGATGAGGAACAGTATAGGAATACAAGAGAGGTTTAAGGAGAGGAGACCGTGGTCATGAATTCATTTTGACTCTATTGAGTTTGAAGAGCCTATTATCAAGTCTGGAACTCAAGAGTTGAGAACTAGAGTTGGGATATAAATTTGGAATTTATAGGTTATGGATGGTAATAGAAGCCAAGGGAGTGGATGAGATCATTTAGAGAGAAAATGAGTAAAGTGAGACAAGAAGGGGCCTAAGATGGAAACCTCAGCCATGTCACACTGAGTTCACAAAACTATTTGACAGTTAGGCAGAGGACAGTGAGCTGATGAAGGAGAGAGAAAGAGAGGCTGGAGAGCCAGAGCTGTGAAGAAAACCAGGGCAGGGCAGAGTTTTGGAAACCAAGGGAAGAGAACATTTCCAATAAAAGAGAATGGTCAGATGTATAACGTGCAGTTGGAAGTTGGGTTAATTAAGGAGTGAGAAGTGTCCATTTGATTTATCAGTGAAGAAGTCACTGAGGATCATAGCGAGATCCATTTAGGTGGAGTGGAGGGAGGAAAAGCTGGATTGGAGTGAGTTGAGGAGTAGGTGAGAGCTGAGGAAATGAAGACAGTGTGCATACATAACACTTTTGAGAAAGTTTGTTTTAAAGGAAAGTAGAAAAATGAGACAATAGCTGGAGAAGAAAAGAAGGTCAAGGGGAAGTTTAAGAAAGGATCCAGTAGAGTGGGAGAGAGTAGGAATAAAAGTGAAAGAAGAGGAGAGTTCCCTGTATAAATGTTCTAAGAAGGGGAGAGGGGATGAGATTCAGAGCCAGGCAGAGGACGTGGACCTAAATTGGAGGAGATACCTCCACCCTGGAAGAATACAGAGGACTTGGCAGTAGAAATGTGAGGCAGTTTCCATCCAATGGCATCTATTTTTCCTTTTAAGCAGGATATGAGATCATTTTCTGGGACCAAAGGGGGGAAATGGAGATTTGAGGAGAGTGGAGAAGATTTGAGATAGAAATAGTGATTGAGCAGGTTGACTACATAACTCCAGCACTGAAGGCCCAGTGAGGTTAGTGATTGGGAGTTTATAGTGGTACCATTCTCTCTGAAGTGTGGATTAGTGAATTGTTGGATTCATTAGGGTTAGTGTCTTTCCACTCAAGTGTGACAGGGGCATAGGAGATGGCAAGGAAGTTTAGGGTGTTGTCAAAAGAGTGGACAAAAAGATTATGAACTTTTACTTCATATTTGTTGGGAGAGAAATAAAGATAAAATAGAGGCTGATGAATATAGAAGAAGTAGAAAGTCAGAATACTGAAGGTGCCAAGGGGTCAAAGTTAACCGTTATGTTGGGGATTGTCCAACAAGCAAGCTAGAAAATCAGGAAGGAGATACTTGATTTGGTGACTTTGAAGTTTGGGCATTTTCTAGAGCGAGGCTGTGGAAGAGGTGGAGTGGAAGAGAAGGCAGTGGAGGGTGGGAGTCAGTGTATTGGATGAATCATCCATGTGGACCTTGAAGTCTCCCAGAAATGTGATGAGAATTGAGTGGAGAGAGAAGAGGTGCCAAAATCTTTAATGAATGAAAAGTTAGTAGATGACAGCAACAAGTATGTGGGATAGTGGAATAGCACGAATCTCAAAGAATGAAGAGCTTTCTACACGAGGATAAGCAGCAATGGAGATCAAGGGAGTATGTTGTTTCTAGCTCAGAACTCCTTAAAAACTTAGAGTTCTTAAAGCATGAGAGAATAATGGTCACCTCTTAAGAGAGCTTCCAGGGAAGCATTGTTATCAGGGAGGGGCAGATTTCAATTTACGCCAAGAGGTAGAGGAATATTCCAAGGGGCATAAGAAATCTCACCTTTTCCAGGAAGGCCAGTATTAAGTGAGGGCACAACTAAGATTGGCTGCCATTATCGGACCCTGCCTTCCTTTCCTGCCTCTTTGCTTAACATTTGTCCATTTATCTTCATTTTTTTCATTGTCGGTAATCCAATGAAATGGCAATATGGAATTGGAATATTAGGTTGTAACCTTTGGCGGAAAATTGGATAATATATTAAGGACCGTTAAAATTGTTTTATAAATTATTTTAAAGTAGCTCAAGATGTAGCATTAGGATAAACAGTTGTCTCCAAGGATTGATAGAAAATAAGTGGGGGTGCGTAACGACCCAGAGGGAGTCTTCCCCAGGAGCTGAGGTCCAGAGGTGTGCAGCTGGATGATTTAACCTACTAGATAATAACATTTAAAACATTTAATTTCATATTGTTCCTTTTAAATAGGTTGTGTACTGTTCTTGTAAGACCTTTGTTATATTCCTAATAGATAAGATACTTGCTTTTTTACTTGCTCCCTGTCTATTAAAAATGAGGTAAGTAGAAGGCCATCCTACCCTCAGCACATATGAATCTGTAGTCGTAATACCAATTATAATAATGATGATGATAATGGCTATAGCACAATAGAAAGGCTCAATGTAGCAATCTAAAGATAAAATAATGAGAGTAAGGGAACTGACTTAAAAAAATATGTTAATTGGCCTTCTATTGCTATCAGAAGTACCGGGAGAAAGCTTTGTACGAGATACAGAAGTTTCCAAAGAGGTAGAAGAACAAATACTGAAAATATATTCATTCTTAACTCCTATTTACCATTCTAATGTGATAACAAGGGAGGAACCTCAGTAAAATAAACAACTAAACATATTGTAGGTAACCAAAACTAGGAAAACTCTGGTCCTTTCAGTCCCTCTGAAGGGCTTCTAATCCCAACTTAATAGTTCATGTAGTTATAGCAGAGAGTTTGCATTTTGAATATTTTTGAGTGTCTAATCCAAATTTTTTACATTTTCTTTCATTTTATATAGATAATTAGTGTTTTATCTTTACTCAGTCTTCGGATCAAGGATTTCCTACTGTTTTATGAAGAAAATCAGTTACTTCATTAATTTGCTTTTTTGATTACTAGCTGATGTTTGGCCAAGTGAGGTTTACCACATATTCTGTGTTCTGTGTGCCTAAGGTCTGCCCCCAGTCTTCACCTGCCTCCCACAGGGGCATTTACCAACTTTCTCACAGGGCACTCACTAACCGGGACTGGCCTGGCTGCTCCCATCATGTTTTTTTTTTTTTTTTTTTTTTTAAAGATTTTATTTATTTTATTTTTCCCCCCAAAGCCCCAGTGGATAGTTGTGTGTCGTAGCTGCACATCCTTCTAGTTGCTGTATGTGGGACTCGGCCTCAGGATGAATGGAGAAGTGGTGCCTCGATGAGCACCCGGGATCCGAACCCGGGCCACCAGCATCGCAGCGCACGCACTTAACCACCAAGCCACAGGGCCGGCCCTCCCATCATGTTTTATTCTTGGTGACTAAATCTTTCTCCATATGATATAAGCAAAATGTTTGTTTCTTTTCTTGATGCATTAAAAGATAAATTGACACATTGGGGAAAAAAGAGACTCACAGGTTCTCTGCCGATAAATTTTTTATCTGCAAAAATCATACGTACAAAGATGTCACGTAGAGTGACAAAGATATTCACATTTTGTGCACTTCTTTGGTCACTTTTAGCATTTGGATGAATCACTCTTCACTTATGATTTTGGTGTGAACCTCCCGGCTCTTCACCCGCAGCTTGTTGACCTGGGACTCGGCAATGTCAGCCCGTTCCTCGGCCTCCTCCAGCTCGTGCTGGAGCTTGCGGAATTTGGAGAGGTTGACATTGGATTGTTCCTCCTGAGAATGAAGGAAATGCATTCATGAGGGGAAAAGTTCAGAATTTCTAGTTTGTTAGGTCAGTGGGTCTTGAATTTTTTTTTGCTTAAAAATGATCCACTCTAGTAAACCTTTATTTTTTTTGGTGAGGAAGATTAGCCCTGAGCTAACATCTGTTGCCAATCTTTCTTTTTTTTTTTTGCTGAGGAAGATTAGCCTTGGGCTAACATCCGTGCCTGTCTTCCTCTACATTATATGTGGGATGCCTGCCACAGCATGGTTTGATAAGCAGTGCATAGGTCCACGCCTGGGATTAGGTCCACGCCTGGGATCTGGGCCTGCAAACCCTGGGCCACTGAACTGGAGCACGTGAACTTAAACCAGTACACTATCAGGCCGGCCCCTCCAGTAAACCTTTTTAAAAAAAAACTCGAGAAATGCTTATTGAATTTTTGTTTATTTTTTTGGTATTAACTCCTCTTACGGGTCTTGAACTCATGGATAACAAGGATGGACAGGTGACATTTGTCTCCAAGATGTTCTAAAAGTTCTTCTTTTAGAACATCTAAACATCTTAGAGCTACTACTAAATATGCCAACTTTCTAGCCTCTTTTTTTTTTTCCAGAATCCTGAGAATCTAACAAGACCTTTTAAAAATGCAGTTATGCAGTCTATGTTATACCAAACTGATAGCCTTGAATATAAATTATTGCCACTTATTGCAGTTTAGAAATTAAGCAAGAAGTTTATTGTTTCCTAAAACAGTCTGAGTGGTCTCTGATTATTTTGAATATATAGCAGTGAATTTGAGAAGGCCAGTTCTGGTTTAGTCTCTAGCAATCATTCTTTTCTAAAAGGCTCTTTAAGAACTGTCCAAAATATGTCATTCAAATTTAGAACGTTAATAAAACTTAGAATCACTAAATAATAGAGTTTGAAAAAAACTTCACATCTTCCTCTTACAGATGAGGAAAGTAGGAGCTAGAGACAGGTTAGGTCTCTCTCTCAGAACTTAAAGGTCAGGGGAAAAATAAAAACCATAAATGAACAGAGGAACGAATTTGCGATATATAGGTATGTATATCCATACTCCCATACTTAGGAAATTGATATTATTTCATTGTTATTTCAGATGAATCACAGGCTGGGGAAATGAGATAAGGTGGAGGCTTGAAAATCTAGTGGTTTGAACAGAACTGAGACCTTCTGAGCTCCAGACTTAATATTTAACTGCTTACGTAACACTTTCACTTATGTATATAATGGTATTTCAAAGAATGTTTCCAAGACAGAATTCCTAGTTCCTTCTTGCCTGCAAATCTGTTCCTCTTTTACTTCCCCATTTTAGTGTTATCCACCTGGTTACTCAAGCCATAAACTTGATGAATTTACCCTTGGTTGCCTTTGTCTTGCCTCCCAAGTGTAACCTATTAGCATATCTTGTAGTTTCTACCTCCAAAACATATCTTGCATCTCTCCACTTCTCTCTCTCTGCTCCATTACCACCCTGATCCAAGCCACGGGACCACCCGAAAAGCCTTCTATAATGTCTCCCTGTACCCACTTGTGTTATCTGACTATCCATTCTCCACATAGTACCAGAATACTCTTTTTAAAAAACATAAATCAGGGCATGAGTGACTCAAAACCCTCCTGTGGCATTCTAGTGTCCTATTGTACTTAGACTACAATTTGGACTTCTTATCATGCCCTAGAAGACCCTGTGATCCGCCTCCTGCCTAGCTCTCCAGCCCAGTCTCTACTGCAATCTCCCTTGTTCTCTCTGCTTCTTGAACCAGCCTCTTTTTCCACTCAAAAGCTTTGCATTGGCTCTTCCCCTTCCCTAGAACATTTTTCCCTGGCTCTTCAAGGAGTTGGTTTCTTCTCATTCTTCAGATCTCCACTGAACCATTTTCCTTTGATCCTTCCTCATTTTACCCTTCTTTTCTTTCATCCCTTTAATTAAATTGGCTTGGACATATCTGAGGCTGGAGGCTGCTCAGTCACCCCAAGGGGTTCTGAACTCACCGCTTCCTCAGCTTGTCTCTTGTAAGCTTTCACCTTTGATTGCAGTTTATCCACCAGATCCTGGAGCCTGAGTATATTCTTGCGGTCTTCCTCAGTCTGAAATAATATTTTAAAGAGTGAGTTTCTTGAAAGTAGAATTACCATCACATTTTGTTGTACATTTGGTTTTCTGTCCCTTGCAAACTGGGGTTAAAACCTAGACAGGCCATTTTCCTTACCTGGTAAGTGAGCTCTTTTACTCTTCTCTCATGTTTGCGCAGACCCTTGACAGCCTCAACATTGCGCTTCTGTTCGCTTTCAACTTCTCCTTCAAGTTCACGTACCTGCAAGAAGATGGGCATTTTAATAACATTTACTATAGTCCATTCACTCAGTAGATTTCTACTTCTTCAAATGACCCATCGTGCTTCTTTTACTCAGCTTTATGTGTAGTTTTTGATGCCCTAGTCTAATTGTCCCCCGTAAAAGCTCTTGGGCAGCAAGGAATATCTCTTATTCATCTCTGTGTGGCCCACATCATCTAGCTATGCTAGGTATTCAAAATCGTGCATTGGAGTGGAATGAGATGGGATATATGCTGTTAGAAGACCCACCCTGGCCTCCAGTTTCTGGATCTGCTTCTTTCCGCCCTTCAGGGCCAGCTGCTCAGCCTCGTCCAGACGGTGCTGCAGGTCCTTCACCGTCTGCTCCAGGTTCTTCTTCATCCGCTCCAGGTGGGCACTGG